TTTTTTTTTTTTAAAAAGAATGTTTTTAAATTTAATTTAATTTTTTCCATCACTATTTGTCCCATCTATGCTATTTTCCACCTCCACCCACCCCTCACCCTGTTTAACTTTTTGCTTTTATTACCATTTTACATTGTAAGAGCCTCATAGCCATGTAACTCTTTGAAAATTAGTTAGTCCGCCTGACTCATAGTTTCTGAAAATGGTGACAAGATTCACCTCAGGGGGTTGTTATAAAGTTGAGTAACAGCACGCAGAGCATAGCATCGTTGCAGTTGTTCAATAAACTATAATCATGAAGACACGAAACTTGCTCATTTCCTGAATGGCCCCAGAAGTGGAGGACGCACCGGAGGTGAGCTGTGAGCTGCCACGCACCCGGCTCCCGCCGTCCAGGCTGAGCTGCCGATCCTCACGCCGCCTCCACGCCACGTCGACACTAGATTCCTCCCTCAGGTCCCACCTCCGTTGTCACTTACTATTTTCTGTTGTCAAAAGAAATTCTTGCCCTGGCCAGTGTGGCTCAGTGGTTGGAGCATCGGCCCAGGCACCGAAGGCTCTCCGGTCAAGGGCGCATACCTCGGTTGCAGGGTCCCTCCTCTGCCCTGGTCAGATGCGTGCAGAAGGCAACGAATCGGTGTGTCCCTCTCACATCAATGTTTCTCTCTCTCTCTCTCCCCCCCCTTCACCCCTCTTCCACTCTCTAAAAAGCAATGGGAAAATATCCTCCAGTGAGGATTAACAAACAAAACAAAAACAAAGAATTCTTAATTAGGGTAATGCATTTTATAATAGACTTTATTTTTTGGAGCAGTTTTATTGTTTTTTATTTTTATTCATTTATTTATTTATTTTTGCAAGAGAACATTTATTTGGTAAAATTACAGAGGTGGAAGAAGTAGTTCCTAGAAGAACTGGGCTTAGGAAACAAGTTACAGAGGCAAAGAAAGGGCCCTTAGAGCTTGGGAGTAAGGAGGCTAATGGGAAAGCATGGGGGGGGGGGCACAGGGAAAGGCACAGAGCTCTCCTGGGCTCCCTGGCCCCGCACAGAAGCACAGTCTTCCCCGCGACCAATACCTTTCACCACACTGGGACATTTGTTACAAGTGATGACATGACACCTCATTATCACCCACAGTCCACACATTTTTATTTTATTTTAAGGGCCTAATTTTACTCGCTTAGCAAGGAAGAGTGCTGAGGTGAGAATATAGGTTTCCTTATCAAAAGCCCATGAGCGGAATCAAAACCCCAAGTATTTACAGCCAGACCACCTTCACATCACATCTCAGAGAAGGGCCCTAGCTCCGCCTTTCCCAGCAGAAGCTGCGGATTCTTTCCCATGAGAACGATTGCGCCTCTCCAGCCCTTCTGCCCACACACAGCATCAACAATATTTCCACACTCTCTCCTTGTTATAGTTCTGGGTCAGCGAGCACCATTTTTTCCCAAATGCTTCCGAATCCTCGGTACATTCCCAGTAGATCATATGTTTGAACCAGAAGGGAAATATACATTTTGCGAGGTCTACAGAGAAGAAAGAAGCCATGGGAATAAGAAAGCTTTCTTTTTTGTGTTTCCTCTTCAGCCTCACACATACACACACACACACACGTTTCCCACTCTGTTCTATTCCACCAAAAACATACGGCATCAGTACTGGTGGGGGACTGAGGTTCTGCTAAAAGATTTCTTTGAACAGGATTGAAGCACTCATCTATATCTTTGGTGTAATGTGGTTTTCATACCACCAGAGACCTGCAAACGACTTATTTTCACAATTTAATTCACTGCACGACCCATTCTGAGAACCCTCTTGAGGATCTCGGCGAACCTCATCTCCAGCACCCAAGGTGACCACCTTGGGGTCTCCGGAGGCAGGACACTCACCTTCCTCAGAGCAGTACTTCCAATAGCCTTTGAAGCTATGGGTTAAGGAGCACCACTTGTGTTTTGCCTTCATCTTGACGCAGTCATAGAACACCCCGTCTTTGTAGCGGAAGGGAAAGAAACATTTGCCACCTAAACAGAACAAAAATTCTGGGAGGATTAGTTGAGATGTTACAAAGTTCCTTCCCCCCCAAGGACGCTGCTGCTCTGAATTCAGACCCGCTGCCTGTGGTTCCAGAGAGCTGTGGACGTTAGGGGAGCTGTTGGGTCTCCACCAATAAAGGTTTTGTGTTTTGTTTTTTTAATATGTTTTTATTGATTTTAGAGAGATAGGAAAAGAGAGGGAGAGGGAGAGAGAGAGAGACATCGATGTTAGAGAAACATTTGTCAGTTGCCTCCTGTATGCCCCCCACTGGGAATCAAATTGGCAACCTTTTGGCGCATGAGAAGACACTCCAGCCAACCGGGCCACACCAGGCAGGGCTATACACTTTTTAAATGTTTACCTTTATAATAGATGATTCTTGTCTTGCTTTAAAAGATCTCCTGGTCCTTAGAGCCTACCTACATTTCCTACATTTTCTTCTTAAATTAAATGATTTTATTTATTTTACATTTAAAATTGGATTAAAGAAGAACTTAATCCAGTTAAGAGAATTAAGATGCAAGAGGGGAATGCAGCTTAATTTTCTTCCAAGTAGCTATTAAATAATGATAAATCAATGATAAAAATAAACCACCCGTACATTTAAACATCCATACATTTAAAACCATGATTAGATTCTAATACGACATCCTGGGATCCATTCTATGTGTTCTTCAAGTTTACTGAAAGGTAAGATAGATGGTGGTAAAATGAGCAGGGTCAGCAGCCATCATGCATCGGAAAATATTACTTATTATTATTATTTCACTCTTTCTAGGCTGATACCATGCTATTTTTTAAAATCCTCACCTGAGGGTATGTTTTTATTGATTTTAGAGAGAGAGGGAGGGAGAGAGAGAGAAATGTCGATGTGTGAGAGAAATATTCATTGGTTGTCTTCCGAATGTGCCCTGACCGGGGATCAAACCCAAAACCTAGCTATGGGCCCTGACTGGGAATTGAACCTGAAACCTTTTGGTTTATGTGTCAACGCTCCAACCAACTGAGCCACGAGGCCAGGTCTGATTCTATGCTATTTATATTACTATATTTATGGTTTGTTTAAATACCTGATAACACAAGTGCTTTTTTTTTAAATCCTCACCTGAGGATATTTTTTCCATTGCTTTTCAGAGAGTGTGGAGGGGAGAGAGAGAGAAACATCGATGTGAGAGAGACACATCGATTGGTTGCCTCCCACATGTGCCCCAACTGGGGCCAGGGATGGAGCCTGCAACCGAGGCACATGCCATTGGCCAAAATCAAACCCAGGACCCTTCAGTCCGGGCCAACGCTCTAACCACCGAGCAAAACTGGCTAAGGCACAGCACTATCTTTATTTACGATTTTCTTAATTACTATTGGACATTATTTTCTATGAATTTTCACATTTCTCTATTAGATTGGTGGAAATGAAAGTGTACAGACATATAATGCCAGTTGGAATTGAACCTGATGATCCTTCGGTGCTCAGGCCAATGCTCTAACCACCGAGCACACTGACCAGGGCAATAGTAAAAGTTTTATGATCAACTTACCTTTCCTTTCCGGAAAGTAAGGCTCAATTTCTGAAAAATAAAATTTGAAGCTGACATTTATTTCACTCTTAGGTCTTCCAACCAAGAACATCCCATCTTTTAAAATTTGCTTTATGTTCTTCAGTATGATTTTATTTACTTCACATAAGTCTTGCACATTTCTTGCCGATTTAACTCCAAAGTGGTTTTCGTCAATGACGTAAAGTGAAATTTTCATCATTTTTCATCAATGTAAAGTTCTTACCAGCAAAGAGAAAAACTATGGATTTTGTATGTTTATCTTATATCCAGCCACATAGTCAGATTCTTTCATTAAAACTAGTCAGTCATCTTACTAGTGTTCCTAGGGATTTTTAAGTTTACAATCATAAAATAATCTTGTCTGTTATTTTCTATAGGTTTACGGATTATTTCCTTTTGCTAGAACCACCCCTCCCCCCAATAATGTTAACTAGTGCTGGTCAAAATAGACACCTCTGACCTCTGTACTTTCCTGGTTTTAGTTGGAATGGCATTCAGGTTAAGAATGTTCATTTTAGCATAGTTAATAATAGTACAAAACATAGAAACCAATCCAAAAATATTCATCACTAAAGGAATTTTTAAAACAAAATATAGCTTTATAACATTATACAGGAAAGATGAGATATAAATAGACATGGAAATTTCTGGACTTCAGCTGTAGGTGACAAAAGACATTTCCTATTTCATTATGTTCTATAAGACTACTTTTGCAAAAAGAAAAATCACATTTTAAAGTTGAAATATTTGATCACTCAAAAATATTAACAGTAAAATTTACACTAAAATTATGATTGCTCTTGTTTCCTTTTTCCTAAACTCTTTTTAACATAAAATGTACTTTTTCTTATATACAAGGACATAAAATAGCAGTTTTTAATGAAAAATGCAATTCTTTTTTTCACTCGAATGATTTTTAATGTTGTCCCTTTCTTTTTTTAAAATTTACCTTTATTGTTTAAAGTATTATAGATGTCCCCTTTTCCCCCTCCATTGATCCCCTCCACCCTGCATCTACCCCACCCCCAGGCTGTCCCTGTATTATTGTCTGTATCCATGGGTTATGCATTTATGCAGAGAAGTATTTTTTTTTAATTTATCTTTATTGTTGAAAGTATTACAGATGTCGCATTTCCCCCCGCATTGATCCCCCATAAAAGTCCTTTGATTAATCTCTCCCCACCTACTCCCCTATGATTCTTACCAGGAAAAGAAGTATAGTATTCAATGCCTTCACATTTTATTGCAAACTATAAAAAGAAACTGTAATAAAAGAGTTTTGATCAACTCACCTATAGTTGAAAAATCTTCTGAAAGACACAATTTTAAACAAACATTTATTTCACTAGATTAAGCCTTTAAAATAAAATAAAAATAAAATATTTCACCAAATGATATTCTAGTAAGAATAGTAATATTTTTAAAAAATGTTTTTATTACTTTTTAGAGATAAGAGTAAGGGAGAGGGAGAGAGAGACAGAAACATCAATAAGAGAAAAACATCGACTGGCTGCCTCCTGCACGCCCCCTGCTGGAGACTGAGCCTGCAACCCGGCATGTGCCCTGGCCGGGAATTGAATCTTGACTCCAGGTTCATGGGTCAACGCTCAACCCCTGAGCAACTAAGACTCTTGACAGCGAAGTAATATGCAGAAAAATATGACACTGATATTTCAGAAGGCCAGGCACTAACACTGGAGACATTTAAGGACCATCTTAATTAGTTTCTTTCACTTCTATGTTCTTTTTTAATGCACATACAGAAGTGAGATCCCATTTAAAAAAATTTTTGTCTACGTCAGAAAGTGTTCTTTTTCAGTAAGCATAAAATAAAACTTCTACTTGATAAGAAAGGCGTGACCATAGTTAACCCGAGAGCATCTTTTCTCTTTTTCTGTGTTTTTTTAAACCTTTACCAGTCCCCCCAAGTTTGATGTTATCTTTCAGCGCAAAGGCGGCCCCAGGAATACTTAATGTCCTATGAAAAATGTCTCTCACCGCCATGGGTGACCCTGGCCCAATCTTCCGTTCCCATTCGTTGAGCCCCCCCTTCTTTAAAGCCTATTAGTGGGTCACGTCTGTTAACTGAAAAGACCTGAAAAATATAGAAAGCATCTTTTTCTGTCTCAGAGCGCCTGAAAGAAGCGTGGCCCTCCCCTCCGCGGCATCGCAGGCTTGATTGTGGGGGGCCCGAGCCCCCCCC